GCAGCATCCCGCCGCCTGTGCGGCTTTGCTCAGGGGCAAAGGAGCAAAGCCACACGGGCGGCGGGGTCCCTCCGCCTGTGCAGCTTTGCTTGGGTCTCCCTGGGGTGTTGGGGGGGGACTTCCCCCAGCACCCCAGGGAGACAGGAGCAAAGCCGCACGGGCAGCAGGGTCCCTCCACCTGTGCGGCTTTGCTCGCGTCTCCCTGGGGTGCTGGGGGGGGGGGCACAGCTAGTGCACCCCCCCAGCAGACCAGGCTTTTGTTGTGGGACGCCTCGGGTAGAGCAGCTGGGGTGCTGCCGGGTTGGTCCTGTGGGAACCTACCGGGCAGCGCCCCAGGTGTTCTGTCTCAGGCTCCAGATTCAGCAGCTGTTGAAACTGATCAGGCTGATTCCAGGAAGCTGGGGGCAGAGCAACTCTGCCTCCGGCTTCCTGTAGTCAGCCCCTGGTCAGTTTCAGTGGCAGCAGCTGAATCTGGAGCCAGTTCCGGCTTACATACAAATTCAACTTAAGAACCAACCTATAGTCCCTATCTTGTACGTAACCCAGGGACTGCCTGTATTTAATTATTTTCAGAATGAAATTCATATGGCTTAACCTCTGTGTAACCTTCACTGCTAAATGTTTTCTCTGTTGAGATATACACAATATTAGTAAAACTAGCAATATGAAATTAGCATTTGAGAGGTCTCTCCTTGACTATGTGAATCAGACAATTTCTCAACTAAGGATTTTTCTTTTCTAGATGTCACCATTGCACCCACAAAACACTCCATTCTAGGGATGCTAGCATGTAGTCATTTACACATGTAAATTCAGTGGTGGAATGTTTGCAGAAAAAAAAACATTAGCCAACATCCCTACTTGATTCTTTTCTAAAGGGTTTTAAAGGCCTCTAATCTGGAGCTTCTTCTAATACTAATAACGGTCCCTAAACTGAGTGCCAGAAGGCATTCAAATAGACACTATTTAGTCTTTCCTTACCCTCTCTACAATAGTCAAGAGCTAGCATATATCTGAACTCTGGCAGACCACGTCTCCCACAATATAGCTCATAGCAGGCCATCAGGTCAACTCATTTCTGACTTTGCTTACAGTTACAATTTAATCACAGGTGAATTATTTAAAATGTAATCCAAGTACCAGGATTATAGAATGTAGATGTTCTAACAACTGAAATGGTCCAATTAAAAAAAGAAGCTATTGGAAATAAAATTTAAAAGTTTAGAAAACAAAATTTCACTCCAGTACCAAGTCATTAGGACATATTATAAATGCATTTCCATTACTTCTTACACTGAAGTCTTAAACTTGATATGCATATCACCTTCCTGGAAGGCCAGTACCTTTGGTTGTCTGAATTTTTATTTCCATAGTGTTGATTAAGAATTGTCTGAATTATATACCAATATATTGTGTACCTAGGACATAAGACGCAGCATGCAATACTGGATGGCTACACCTAGACTGGCATGATTTTCTGGAAACGCTTTTAACGGAAAAGTTTTCCGTTAAAAGCATTTTCGGAACAGTGTCTAGATTGGCACAGACACTTTTCCGCAAAAGCACTTTGCGCGGAAAAGCGTCTGTGGCTAATCTAGACATGCTTTTGCGCAAAAAAGCCCCAATCGCCATTTTCACGATCAGGGCTTTTTTGCGGAAAACAAACCTCAGTTGTCTACACTGGCCCTTTTGCACAAAAGTTTTGCGTAAAAGGGACTTTTGCCCGAACGGGAGCAGCATAGTATTTCCGCAAAAAGCACTGATTTCTTACAGTAGGAAGTCAGTGATTTTGCGGAAATTCAAGCAGCCAGTGTAGACAGCTAGCAAGTTTTTCCGGAAAAGCGGCTGATTTTCCGGAAAAACTAGCCAGTCTAGACACAGCCGTTAAGTACTGGTTATTTTAATAGGTTCCTGATTTTAAATCTAAAATTGACTCATGAGTTTGAGATATACCCTGTACATGTACAGAAAGGTCCTTGGCCCACAATATTAACAGACGTGTATGTTATATACATGTGCATTTCTAAAACTGAAGATAAAATATTCAAATATTTTACCACATTCCAGCAACAAGCAGAGTTTAGTACTTTTTTTAGTTTTCATATTTCCTCATTTGAGTTTTGCTATATATTGAACAAAAGTAGTTTTTATGTATTTAAAAATTTAACTTTTACATTTTGTACAGTACTTCAAAGTCAAACATACCATACCTGCAAGCAAAATAGAGTGGAGTTGCTCCTGACACGTTTGGCCTGTTAATATCTGCACCACTGTCTAATAAACACTGTACTGTCTTTTGGGAACAGGAAAAAAAAAAAGTACCGTCAGAACTAGAAAAAAATTAACAAAAATATCACTTGGCTTGAAACGGGTTAGTTATGTATCTATCTTCAGTTAGATGAGCAGATTTAATTTCCAGTAATAAATCTCAAAAACAAGGTATCTGAACATTAGAAAAAGGACTATGACAGATATACTTTGAAGAGTATTCACACACACTAATCACGATGGCTACATCTACACTACGACTTCTCAGCAAACAATATGCAAATGAGGGACTCATTTGCATGAGTCGCAATCTCATTTGCATATTTTTGCCAATCCATTTTTGCAAAAACAAGCAGTGTGGACATTTTCTTTTTGCGCAATAACCCCTTTTTCCATAGTGATGATAGCTGTTATTCCAAAATAATTATGCAAGCGTCTACACTATTTCAAGATTTTGAAACGACAGCTTATTCCGACTTTGGTAAACCTCATAATAGTCCCTATTTTGAAATAGCTATGTAGACACTCCACTTCTGTTATTTCGAAATAGCCCCTCACCAGGGCCATTATAAGTTATTCCTCCTGGGACTCTAATTCGAGATAGCACGTCTACATTAGGGAAGCCTGCCTTGGACTAATTTTGTGGCTTCCCTGCAGTGTTGACATGCTATTTCGGAATAAGCTATTTCGAAATAACTATGTAGTGTAGATGTACCCTATGTGTAGGACTTGGGTTTTTTAAATAAATATCCTTTATAGAACTTCGGACATTCTGTAAGACCACGGAAATCAGATCCCCAAACAATATTGAACTTAAAAAATACTATAGTTTTGAAAAATATATTTTAAGATGAAATGCTAAGTAAAAACAAACTGCAAAGTATGGAAATGCTGAGCTAGAGTACGTAAACAACCATAACTCTACTCCGTCCACATAACGCAGATTTGTCTATAATTATGAGTCTGATGGCTAGCTGATGTCTTGAAACTTGTAATCAGACAGAATGCCTTGAGAAGATCTTCCTGATGATTTACAGACTAACTTTTTGGCATCGGCAGACTGGAGAACTGGATTGAGAAATAATCCAGAGACCATGTCTTACTCAAATTGTTCTATCATTGGGTAACAGAGTTACTATTCCATATGATCTTTCAATATTTTTAAAAGTCCAAATCCGCACACTTATTTTACACATATATGCTTAATCCTAATGCAAAAAAAAAAAAAAAAATCAATCCCTAAGATAGAGTACAAACACTTAACTATATGTGATTAAAAGTAACCAAGTTGCCACGTATACTTACGTATACAGTGTCTCTCACAAACATGGCTCAAAATATTAAACAAAAATACAAAATGACTCATGAAAAAGTATTCAAAACATTAATCAATACAGCAGTATCTGCAATCAATTATGCAATACTACATTAATCAACTGCAAGAACAGCTGGGAGGTATGCAGCATTTAAATTCTTAAAGGAAAATAAACCACTTCATATGAGTGCAAGCAATTAAGAATTACTAAGGCAGGCATGTTAATAATTCTATCATTTATGCTTTATAAACATGCATGACTAGCCATAGTTTCTTTTAAAAAAATTGACAAGTATTACCAAGGTTTTACAATTAGAGTCGGTTCAAATTAATTTTCTGCACTTACCGTCTTGTGACCATTCTGGCAAGCCACGTGAAGTGCTGTCTGTCCCATTGCATCTTCAACATCTACATTATTGACATGCTGTACAAGATCATGAAGTAGCTCTGTTCGGCCATTGACAGCAAGCCAGTGAATCTATGTACAAAAATAATCCAATACTAATATTTTTAATAGTCAATACATGCATGCAGTTTATAACCAAAAGTTTTCAAAACGTAATGCTCTGTGGCCAAGATTTTCATAAATGGGATCCCAAAATTAGATTTCTAAAGGCATATCTAAGCAGTTAAATCTATGCCTGATTTCACAGCAGCTTCCTTTGAACATCAGTAGATTGAAAGAATGCACTTAAAGGATCCTCCACTGTACTTGCTGATGATTGTCATCAGTAAACTCCCTGAATATCTTACTGATAAGAGCTACAACAAGAGGAACCATTTAAATGTAAGACTGTTGGCACTCATAAGTGTTGTGTAAATCCTCCACCCAATCCAGTATAACGTGGATGTTATTCATGTAACTTTCAGTTCTTCTAAGTCACTTAAGTTTCAGTCATTGTGAGCTGCTTAACTTTACTGTAAGCCATGTATATTTCATGTAATGTTTCAAGTTCTGCAGCTTATTGCACGCATCGTAACTTCCAGCTATTGCTGTACAATTGTTAAGTTTGCGACATTCTATCCTGTGACAAGAGAGCTGGTGGGTGGGTGGGTGTGTGTGAAGAAGAGAGAGACTGGTGCCAACTAAGACAATCAAGAATGTGTGAAGGAGCCCTCTGCCTTGGTATCAGAAATCCACATTTATTGTTCAGGCCAGCAAAATTAGCAGTTACAAATATCATATGGTGCCACAACTTTACACTCATTAGTTTCAACTCAAAGCAGTATACTACCATATCAGCTTTTATGGAGAGAAATTGAAAAGTTAAAATCTAATAGAAAAAGAAAATTTGTTATGTTGCCTGGTCACTGAAGGAGGAGGTAGAAAAAACAAAAGCAAAAATAGCTATGACTCCTATGAGCATATAAAGCTGCATTTATTAACTTTCCGACTCAAAGCTTTTACTGTTTTAGAAATATTTTGATCACTTTTGTCACTGGTAAATTACAAGTTTTACAAGGTTTTACAATTCCATATCAACAGGAACCCTTCTGGTTTTAATTATTCCAAAGCTGGTCAAACACTTGGTTGGCATAAGCCACAGGCATTTTCAGCAAATTTAGAATATCAAAGGTTTATTAATTTCAAAAGAAGCACTTCAGTAACTTAACTAAAACAGATAGCACTTACTGCAGTCAGACCTTCATTATTACAAATGTTGACATCTGCACTATATTCTAAGAGCTTGCTCATACATTTCTTCTGCCTGTAAAGAAAAGAATATATTCCATTCTTATCAAGAAAACAGAAAGGAGATCTGCAGAAAGCACATATCATCCCCATGTCCCTGTCAGCATAATTTATCCTATGCATCAGCTGCAATATATGTTTTCTTCATAGAAGTGCACCATTAAACTGATATTTAAAGAAAAGCAAATAATCACTAATGCCATAGAAGACTCTGTCTCCCGTCTATAAACTAAAGCTCTTGACTGTGTGTGAGAGAATGATGGGTTATACAGCCAGGTTTGTTACAGATATCAGGTAGGTTGGAGATACCAGAATACTTAACTGTCCTCTTCTAACATTATTTCAAATTATATGATTACGTATTGCATCTTAGGGCTGATGAACCATATCATTCACTGGTGTCAACTGAAGAAGATCCACTGCAGTCAATGGAACAATATTAAATTATACCAACTCCCATTTGTAGTCACAATTGGGTTCATGTAATAATAAAAAAAGGTTTTAAATTTTAAATAATCTTTAATGCTATAAGTATTTTGTCCTTTAGAAATTAATCATACATTATTTTCCATTGAGTTTTGTTCCCATCATACCCCTGCTACCTGACCTTTTCCAGCACATGATTTCCTGCTACCTGGTCACTGTCACCCTGTATTTATTGCCTCTTTTCTTTGTGCTCTCCCACAGATGGCTGTCAAGTAACAGCATCTTGTTTCCTCTGCAGCAGTGGCCCCTACTAAGGTAGTTAGGCAATCTGTACCTCTGTTTCCAACCATTTTTAACAAACTTCCATTCCACAAAAAAGAAAGAAGAAAACTCAGTAATAACTCGCTATCTGTCAACAGATCTCAGTTTGAGAACTAATGAGGTAAATATTTTTAATGAAGACTGACTTAGTGATGTCAAGCCTTAGAAAAACATAAATATGCCACACCACCGTAAGATAATTTGCTGAATTAACTATTATAATGGAGTGGTTCCCACATTACGTAATAGGTAATTTCTCCTTCAGCAACTCTCTCTCTCTCACACCACTCTTAGAGGAGTCACATCCACTCTGATTTAATTAGCACTGATGTCACAGTCCCGTCTCAGCATCCCTTCCTTTTTTCCTTTCGTTTTCTCTTCAAGCATCTGGAGAAGTGAGCTGAATCTCACAAAAGCTTATGCCCTAATAAATCCGTCAATCTTTAAGTGCCTCTGACCTCCTTGCTATTTTTATGAGCATTCTCTTTCCTAGTCCCTTGAAGAGAGTGTTTGGCAGTCACACAATGGCTATTTCTAGACTACACCGAAGTTCCGAAACAGGATATACAAATTCTGTGGGAATTTGCATATCTTCTTCTGATCTCACTTTAGAAAGCAGAGCTTTTGAAAGTGAAAGTAGTCAGGATGTGTTTTTTGGGTAAACCCCCTCTTAAAAATTAGGTTTACACAGCTTTTCGGAAAAGGGAGGGGTTGCAAAAACAACACCCACACCCACACAGCATCCCGACCACTTTCATTTTCGAAAGCGAGATCAGAAGAAGATTTGCATATCCTCTTTTGGAACTTCGGCATAGTCTAAACGAGCCCAATAAGAAAAGCAGAGATTGAAGAGCCATTAGGCATGCATGTACACTGAAAAAAGGGTAAGATTGGAGGCAGTGAGTCAGAGCTTATCAACAGCGTTGCCCAAGATACCCAAAAACATCCCACACTCAACCAGACATCATAAGATGGCTAGAGAAAATCCACCACCAGATAAAAGGGAACACAGCCCTCTTGTTCTATGACTATCATACATGCGATATTAGGAGATGTCTATACTACAACGATAAGTTGACCTATGTTAGGTCACCTTATAGCTATCATATTAGATACTGTGGTGGTGAATGTCCATGCTACCCTCCTGTCGGCAATGCTCAAGCTCACAAAAAGTACTTCCACCAAATGAACGGGGGGCAGTGTGTGGGCCCAAAAGACAAAGTTTCTTGCCTCCATGGTCTCAACCAAGCTGCCCAACCAAGGTTTTTCACCTCTGGCAGGGAGATCCATGCCCAGAGTCCAGTCAGCTGCTGTGCTCCAATGTTCCCAGGTGGCAGACTGATTCGGAGTGGAGAGGCTCAAGAGCCAAGAACCTGCTTTACTGTCAATTTCACAGCAAGCAAATAACGGACATAAGGACTGCCCTGTCAGCACAGACACTGCATCATCCTAACTACACTGACATAACCCTCTTCTTGAGATGGTTTTCTTATGTCAGCACAGTAGGGAAGTTAAACTGGTAGGATGAACATTTCAGTATATACACCTCCACTGTTTACTCAACAAAAGCTAACTAAAACTGTATAGACAAGATCTGAGTTGTTTGTGTCTTGCAGAAGAACACAGTTGATTTCTTGACAGCTAACAGTGAAACCCTGTAAACTTCATCTTGCAGATCCTGAATAATCCAATCCACATTTCACTCTTTTAAAGTAATTACACTGTTTTGTCATGTGTTGCATTACATACGATGCAAATATTGCAATAAATTTTATTATTAGTACCCACTAAAAATCCCTTCAACTATCAAACTGGTAATTAGCAGAAAATGCTTAAATGGTCAGAAATTCATATTTATTTCTTCACTGTATTTAGATCTTCTAATATATTATAGAAATGTGCATCTGTCCATGAACTCCTCCTAAACAACTAGGACCACCAAATTTGGTATGCAGCTTCTTATCATAACTTAAAGCAAGGTCAGGATTGGTGGTTTAGGGACGTGAAAGGTTAATGGGTGATACTTACCAGCTCTGGTTAAGCCAGGGCTGGGCAAAATATGTCTTGAGGCCAAATCTGGCCTGCCAAGCCACTGGATCCGGCCCACAATCGCCCTGCCGGGACCCTCGGCACACAGCCGTTGCAGTTTAAAACTTAGTCCATGCAGCTCTCTGCTCTGCAGGGAGGGGGAAGCTTCATGTGATCTCCTGGCCCCCAGGCCGATCCTCAGCTCCTATAGGCTGGAAACAACCAGCCAATAGGAGCTAAGAGATTGGCCTGGGGGGTTGGGGCAGCACAAGCCTCTTTCCATTCCCTGAGCTGAGATCCATGTGGAGAGAACAAGCCTGCAGTTTAAAGTGATCTGGGACTGCAGCAGGCAGGGTGCCCAGCTTGCCTTGGCGGTGCTGCAGAGATGCGGACTTAGGTAAGCATCTCCCAGTCAGAGCCTGCCCCTCCCACAGCCCAACTCCCTCCTCCAGGTCACCATCCAAACTCTCTGCACTCCCTTCCTCAGATCACAACTCCCTCCCAGACCTTGTACCCCTCTAGGGTTACCAGGTGACTTCAAAAAAAATATTGGACACACTTGAGCTCAGATGCAGAGAGGAGGGAAGCGGGGCTGGCTGGGAGGATATGGGCGGGAGAGGGGGGAGACCGGCTGGCGGGAAGCAGGGCTGGCCGGGAGGGAGCCAGGTGGAGTTGAGCTGGCCAGGGAAGATCGGGAGGAGGGTGCAAACCGGCCGGCAGGAAGCAGGGCTAGTCGGGGGGAGGGGAGCTGGCCAGGAGGAAGTCTGGGGGAGGGAGAGGCTGGGGTGCCAGAAATAGGCTCTAGCTGAGAGACCTTATTTGGCTCTCAGCCAGCAGCACAGCAGGTTTCTTAGCCACGACCATGGTGA